GGGGTATATGTGGGGACCGTGTGAGAGGTGGAACAACAACAAATGGCATGCATAGGACACGTAATGCGTGGTCTGACACGTAATGCGTGGTCTGACACATAATTTTTGCATGGTCTGACACTGACACATAATTTTTGCATGGTCTGACACTGACACATAATTTTTGCATGGTCTGACATTGACACATAATTTTTGCGTGGTCTGACACGTAATTTTTGCGTGGTCTGAGGTGTGTGCCATCCACAGTACAGACACTACACCACACGGCGACACACAATGAGACACACACACGCAGAGGATGCTGAAGCTAGGAGGAGGGAGGACACCGATCTCTGGCCATGCAGACACACTGAGACACACCGACACATACACAGAGACATACATAGCCTACATACAGAGACATACACAAAAAGACATGCAAAGAGACGCATACTGAGATATGCACAAAGAGACACATATTGAGGTATGCACAAAGAGACACACATTAAGATATGCACAAAGAGACACACATTGAGATATGCACAAAAGACACACATTGAGATATGCACAAAGAGACACATACTGAGATATGCACAAAGAGACACACATTGAGATATGCACAAAGAGACACACACACACACACACACACACACACACACACACAGACATACAAAGAGACACATACAGAGACATACACACAGAGACACACACACACACAGACACACACACAGAGACACACACACAAAGACATATAAAGAGACACACACAGACACACACACACACAAAGACATACAAAGAGGCCCACAGGACACACACACAAAGACATACAAAGAGACGCACACAGAGACACACACATAGAGACACACACATAGAGACACACAGAGACACACACATAGAGACACACAGAGACACACACACACACAAAGACATACAAAGAGACACGCATTGAGATATATATATATGCACAGAGAAATGCACATTGAGATATGCACATTCAGACACATAAATAATATGCACATACAGACACATAAATAATATGCACATACAGACACATAAATAATATGCACATACAGACACATAAATAACATGCAAAGACACTTGAAGACAAATCATGAGAAGATGCAACTAGAACATAGCGGGTACAATTCTATGGCCATGCAGAAACACACACACACACAAAGGTA